AGTTAATAAATATGTTAAATTACTGTTTCATCCATAACTTGTTTGGTTATGAACCATAACTTGACAAGTTATTGTCCATAATTCACGGTTTTTGTCCATAATTTGTCTGGCTATGAACCATAACTTGACAAGTTTGTCCATAACTTATCTGGTTATGAACCATAACTTGACAAGTTATGGCATATTAATTTTTATAACTAAAAATTGGCCTATATATTTTCTTAAGCTTTTCATATTGGCATATTTCCTACTAATTCTGAAAAAAAAAATGAATAAATAGATTGTTAGGCCGAGATATGAAAACAGTCTTAAAAAATAAAAAATAAAGAAGTTTGGGAAACTTATATAATACATAATGCGCATAGTGTCTCGTAAAGTGCCATTAAGGTAAAGTATTTATATTAATACAGACATAACGTGTGGTGGAACAATGAAGATGTTGAAAAGTATTCAACTTGCATAAATAAATTACTAATAAATGTGTACTTCTCTTATTATTTTTATTTTTCAATTCGCTTGAGTTGGATCCCTTTTTACCAAAGAAGCATTTTGAGAGACAGGGTCCGTTCACTTTGCTAATTCGAGTTTGTAATTCAAGTTGAGATGTGATTTTATGTGAGAGCTTTTTACTGTAGTAAAAAAGTTAGATGTGATTGTTTGTGAGAGCTTTTTACTGTAGCAAAACTCGAATTGGTGAAGTGAACGGAACCTCTATTTTCTCTCCCATTTTCTTCCCCTACGGGGTGCAAAAGAAGAAAAGACAAAAAAAAAAAAAAAACAAATATTGAGGAATGAGGTCCTAAGGTTTCCACACAAATCTTGCAAATCCAATGAGATCACTAGAGAATGTTTGTGACATAACTTACCAACATCAATAATTTTACACGATCATAAGTCATAACATCATTGTCATCGTGCCTAAAAGCTTTAGGCTTCATAAACCAAACTAAACCAAAACCAAACTCCATCTACTTGTTATTGTTTGCATTTTCATGCATATATCTATGTGGAAACAACTCCTAAAAGTGCACATGACATATATAAGATGTAACATTCCTTTACTCTATCTTGGATTCTTATGAAATTTGTGGCGAGCTTTTATAATTATTATGTGTTTTATGATTTTCTCATGACAATTAAAGGGATTTAGATGTCCTAAAGTCACGCGTCACTTGACGAAATTATTGTCCAAGGGTTATTTTTTTTCCTGAAAACATTAATTAGAGCAAAACTTAGCAAGTTAAATTCCGAATGAAATTTTTAATACTGGGTTCTTAATCGGAGCGTTGAAATTAGGGAAGGAGGAACCCACATTCCACACCCCCAAACCTCAATTTTCTTTTCTTTCTCTTCCTAATCCATAGAGGGACAAAACCCTTGCTTCTTTTCTAATTCTACATGTATTTGGTAGTCTAAAAACTCATCTAATGTTGCTGCTAATGTGGAATCCGAGAAAGAGATTGAATCTTCTCCAATATAGTGTTGGGTATTAGTAAGTTTACTTAATCACTTTTCAAAAACGTTTTCCTTATGAGCAGCAATTAATACGAATTTTTCTTATATGTTATCATCAACTTTTTATTTTAAATCTATGCACTTATGATCAGCCATATCCTCATCTTCAAAGCTACAAGCTCAGTTATCCAGCCATAAGAGATGACTTGAGCAGCAAATAGAAAAATAGACATAATATTAGTTATTTATGGTTATTAATTTTTCTATCCAAATTTGATCATGTCACGACCATGTTTTTTTTTTTTTTTTTTTTTTTTTTTTTTGGTAGAAGGTGATGCTCATTATTTGTGATTAGTTATAATAACATCGCTTTATGTAAAAAGATAACACATAACTAAAGTATATTTGAGATAATACACTATTGTTACACACCAGTGGTACTAGCTAATAAACATAAAAAAATGGATAAATTATCTCCCTTCTTCTCTTTGCAAGACATGGTCTAATAAATTCCGTACTTAAAATTGGACAATTTACTAAAATGAATGAGACGCAATCAAAGAAGAGCCCAATGGGGCTATGACTAAATCAAGTACAAATTGGGAGCACACAAAAATCCATGCCGGTTTCACTAGCGGACCCCACCAGTTTGTGTTTGATTGAACTATAATCTATATTCATTTTACCGATTCAAATTTTATTACAGTAAAAATCTCTTAAAAACAGTTATATTTAATTTTTTTACTATAATAAAAAATCTCACATAAAGTCACATCTCAACTCAAATCAGTGAATTAAACAGGCCCACCAGTTTCAAAACAAAGTTTGCCTTTACATCCAATGAGATCGCAGGATAATATTTATGACACAATCTTACCAACATTAATCTTATTACATTTTGATCTATAACATCATTGTCATCGTACCTGAACCTTTACACTTCACAACCAAACCATAAGCTTGTGCTCTTTGTTTTTTTTTTTTTTTAATTTATTTATTTTCACAGTCACCTACGTGGAAACACCTTCTACAATTGCGCACCAATCATGTATGACTCGAGCACCGACTAGAAAAAATGACATAATACAACACGCTTTCGACAAACTTTGTAAGCAAGAAAGTGAAACTGGCGAACAAAAATGACTTTTGAATTATTATTATTAATATATTGTCACCATAATTCCAGGTATAATGCCTTATATAGTTATACTCGACTTTGCACCGCCAGTTTCTCGTAGTCTATGTATATATTTATATACATACATGCATATATGTATATATATATATATATAATTTTCGGGGAAAATCCAAGAAACGCGGATCAATAAAAAAAACAAATGACTAAAGAAAATATATGAGCACGAACGACCTTTTCAGCTGGTACTATGGGGAATATATTTAATTTGATTAAAAATGGCAGTTATATTATAGTCAATAGATTTCTGTTTTGGTAATTAATATTTAACTCATATGGTGTACTTTCTAGTAAATTGAGCATTACTTCCCCGATCCTCCGGTCACAATAGATTTTTCTTTTTTCTCGCATACAATTTTATTTTTATTTTTTTTTAGGACTTTGAATCCGTCGTTTCTTGGCACTTCTGAGAACTGTTGGACGACATTTTATTTGGATTGGTGAATATTTTATAATAAGGTCAATCTCATATCGTCATTAGGAAGCGTGATAGGTCCCATTCAAAAGAAAAGGGGGAATTATTAAACTTTTAGTACGTCCATAATAAGCATAAACGTGTCCAATCTTCCTCTTATTTTTTTTCCCTTTTTTCTTTTTCACACCCCCCCTTATCAAGTCAATGAACCTTACTGAATAATTTAAAATACTCCGTTTCCTTTGGAAATATTACTTTAAAATATACTTTATTTTTAACTTATTATATAAAATACTTAGAGCCTAGACATATGACATGTTCGATATGTTACAGCGTAACACACACTATTTCTGGTGTATGTGGCAGCTGTCTTTTCTGGCTTAAACCAAACGGAGTCGGCCGTACAAGTCAAACCCTAATCACAAAGAATAATCTAATAACAAGACAACAATTGACTGTGTAATTTAGGATAATTTCATTAGCTCTTAATCATCTGGCAACCCAGCTATATATAGCTGGTAGATTACATTACAGCATAACAAAGACGACTTGTAAAGCTCAAAATGACAGGAAAAGAAAAAACTTAAACGACAATAAGAGCTCCTGCATCAATTTCTCTCTCTAACTAGGCTTCTAGAGTAATTTATATCACGTTATCAGGTTTGCAGACCGCATAGTTCACGTGGATAGAGGCTCATACTCTCCTACGGTAAACCTTTTTCTAGGACACAATCGCCTATCGTACTCGGAATCAGATAGAAAGATGCTTTTTTTTTTTGGGTTGCTAAACCAAATAGAAAGATGCTTGTAATTATTGTATCGTTTATTTCGTTAATTCAAGTTTAAAATTTAAATTTTATTACAGTAAAAAGTTTTTATAAACAGTCACATTTAATTTTTTTACTACAGTAAAAAATTCTCACATAAAATCACATCTCAACTCAAATTATAAATTTAAATAAGCGAAACGAAGCGTCATCTATTGATCTCACGGTGTGCGTCTCACTCTCAACTTTTTTTGTTCGTTTCACTATGAAAAGAAAACACGAAACGCTAGTATCTCATCCCTATCGAGTGCGTTGGCCTAATATTAATGAGACGTTTGGTTCATAGATTAGAACCATGTGATTAGAATCATTTTCGATTTATGTGTATTTTTTGTGAGAGAAAATATTATAACAAATTATGAATCATGATTTAAATCATGAGACGAATCTCCCAACCAAACAACATCTGTCGTAGTAGACTTGTAGTTTCATGTTTATTCAGATATTGAGTTGAGAGTATTAAATAAGAAGACTTGTTTTACGCAACTCTAGTATTCAATTTAAAATGTTGCACATTTAATAGGATTGGAGTGACGCACTCTCATTTAAGCCGTACGATACTTGTAAATATTCTTGTCAATGTTTAGAGCATTCTTTTTATAACGTTGAAATAGAATATGTTAACCTTCATCGTCTTTGTCTTCTCTTGAATTTGTTTTAATCTCATTAATTTAAAAATGATAATTTATAAAAATATCTCTTAAAATAAATTTTTTTTTACTCCTATCCCTTAAAATTAACTTATATATTTTTATGTTTTAAATTAAAATTAATCAGTGAGTAGAGACTTAAAAAAATATAATATAAAATTTTAACATCTGCGCGAAAAAAGAAGGATCCACCCTCGGCCAAGTTCTATTTGGTCTGGTTTGGAATGTCATAGGCTATGGGTCCCACCAAAAACAGAAAACGAGAGTCCTGGCTACAAGGTGAGTCAAAGTCTCTGATGAAACGACACGATAGAGATTCGCCGAAGCACACTTCTCTATGCGTCTGTTCAGCACACTCAATCTGACCGTCAATACGCGCCACGTCATATCTTCTCCTCCTCAGCTAAAACCGCCCCTCCCAAAAATTTCTACTATATATTTAACGCCGTAAACCCCTTTCCTTTAGATTCCTCAAACCAAAACGAAAACCAAACCAAGTCCTCTTTCGCATATTCGTTCATTCATATTTCATTTCGTACCAGTTTTTTCCTTCTTTTTTCTTTTTTAATTGGCGAAGATATTTATACGAAGATTATTATGGAGAATTCTCTAAGCTTGACCGGATTGTTGAAGAAGACGGCTTCGCAATTCCCCGATCGTCGCGCGATTTCCGCTTCTGGAAAGTTCGATTTGACACATGCCAGATTGCAAGACCTCGTCGATCACGCCGCTTCTCTCTTGCTCGCCGCCGGCATCGGCCACAACGACGTCGTTGCTCTCACCTTCCCCAACACCGTTGAGGTAATTAACAAAGTTTCCATTTTTCACTTTCCTACCGTTTCTTGGAACCAAACAGGCCATTCCACGCGATTTCTCACCTTTTTGTTTTAATATTTGATGTTTTGCAGTATGTCGTGATGTTCTTGGCCGTGATTAGATGCCGAGCCGTGGCGGCGCCGCTGAACTCGGCTTACACCGCCGAGGAATTCGAGTTCTACCTCTCCGACTCGGAATCGAAGCTCCTCATCACGCCGCCGGAGGGGAATCCGGCGGCGGAGTCCGCCGCCCTTAAAACCTCGCGTGACCGCCGCGCTCGCCGGCGCTGACTGCCTTGTGGCGCTTTCCCCGGCGATCGGTGAGCCGAGCCTCGAGGCCGTCGCGAAACTCGTTAATGACCCGTCCGACGTGGCGCTCTTCCTTCACACCTCTGGAACGACGAGTCGTCCGAAGGGAGTGCCTCTAACGCAGCTCAATCTGGCGTCGTCTGTCAAGAACATCAAATCGGTCTACAAACTCACCGAGTCCGACTCGACGGTGATCGTCCTCCCGTTGTTCCACGTCCACGGGCTGATCGCCGCGCTGCTGAGTTCTCTCGTCGCCGGAGCCGCCGTGGCTCTCCCCGCAGCCGGGAGATTCTCCGCCTCGACGTTCTGGTCCGACATGAAAGCCTACAACGCCACGTGGTACACCGCGGTCCCTACGATCCACCAGATCATCCTCGACCGCCACGTCAGCAAGCCGGAGCTGGATTACCCGAAGCTGCGGTTCATCCGGAGCTGCAGCGCGTCGCTGGCGCCGGCGATCCTCTCTCGGCTGGAGGAGTCGTTCGGCGCGCCGGTCCTGGAGGCTTACGCGATGACGGAGGCGTCTCACCTCATGGCTTCCAACCCGCTTCCCGAGGACGGCGAGCACAAAGCCGGCTCGGTGGGGAAGCCGGTGGGGCAGGAGATGGCGATCTTGGACGAGAACGGCTCGGCTCAGAAGCCGGGCGTCAGCGGCGAGGTTTGCATAAGTGGACAAAACGTGACAAAAGGTTACAAAAACAATCCCGAGGCCAACAAATTGGGGTTCAAATTCGGCTGGTTTCACACCGGTGATGTTGGCTTTCTTGATGAAGATGGTTATTTGCATCTCGTTGGTCGAATTAAGGAGCTTATTAATCGTGGAGGTATTAAAAAATCAAAACCTCTTTTTTGTTTCTTTGCACAATAACATATGGTGGTTTGTGATTACGTATTTGCATTCGTAATTTTGGCGTTGATTTTTAAGAAAATCCCAAAGCATGGAACGTAGAATATTATAATTCGTCCAAAATGTAGGAACTCTGTTTGCTTAGAAAATTTTGACCCTTTTTTATTCTGGTTTGAAAAATTTTGGGCCCATAACTTCTTGATGATGAGTCTGCGTTCCATTATGGGCATACACGTCCTCGCTCGTTGTCGTTGATCGCCACATAAAAACAACAACTTTATCGTCATTTTCTCCGAACGTGAATTTTTTGCTTTTTGGCCTTTGAGTGTGTGCCTAGAGCATCTCCAACTTGACTTCTTTGTTTGCATTGCCGAGTGTCAAACACCACTTATTTAATGTGACTTCAATAATCACTATTTAACTTAAATTACGTACTTCAACAAGGACCTTCATTTATTTATTAATTAATTTATCTTTTTTTTTTCTTGCAGGGGAAAAAATATCACCAATTGAAGCAGATGCTGTGCTTTTATCTCATCCTGACATTGCTCAAGCGGTCGCTTTTGGTGTCCCTGATGACAAATATGGTGAAGAGGTAAATTACTATTACCATTTGGAAAAACACCATCAAGATTATTGTTTCATCGTTTTTTGTCAATTTTTCTAAATGTTCTTCTTTGGCATATCCTTATAAATTGCAGATAAATTGTGCTGTAATTCCAAGGGAAGCAGCAGACATAGACGAGGCGGAGGTGTTGAGGTTTTGCAAGAAAAACCTCGCGGGTTTCAAGGTTCCAAAGAAGGTCTTCATCCCTGGCGCGCTTCCCAAGACTGCCACAGGGAAGATCCAGCGTCGGATTGTGGCAGAGCATTTCCTTGCTCAAATCTCCACCGCCAAAGTCCCAAAGTTTGGTGCTTAATCTTTGAAACTTTCTCGGAGTTTTTCCCACCAAACACTTCAATTTGTTCTCTATCATTGACACTATTGAGATGATGAGACAGCAAGTTTCCAATGCTCTCTATCTCTTAACATTTCTACAGTGAGCATGTTTGGAATGGGTCCCAGAGAATAATTATTTTATTTGTAAAACAAGACAAGTTTAGCTGTCAATTTTTTTGTGGGTAATAATACAATTGGGCATCGGCTATGTTTGGCATTATTATTAACATTGGGTGTTAGACACGTTGACACTTTTTTTTTTTCTTTTTTTTCCTTGTCACCTTTTAACATAAGAGGACCTAGACAGAAGATAACTTGGATATTGCTATAAATGTTACAATCATACCTGCTTTGAAAAGATCGGTCACGCCTCTAGTATAGTTCTTTTTCGATTGGTGTCAATCTTTCTTTGCTAACTGGCAATAATGTAGTGTAACTTGGCAATAATGCAAGGACTTTGCTTGGACTGTTAGCTTCTTTGGCAATAACATTGTTTTTATTTTCTACTCTCACCAATGTGGAACGTCTAACTTAGTAGGAAGCATGGCATATTGCCTTACAGCTTGTTTGGTAGGAGAGAAAAAGTATGATGGAGACGGGGTGAGGGGATTAATGGAAGGAAAAGAAGAGGGAATGGCTTGGTGCGGGGCCGGAGCATGATTTGCCGGTGGTTGTGTGGTGGAGCAATCGATTGGATCTCATCGGTCCTTCGATGGAGATCGTCGCTTGTGCGCGCGGCCAGTGGAGCCCTCATGACAAGATCTATCCACTATGGAGGAATATTTAGCCAGGAAGGCGGCGTGCAAAGAGGGAGAAGACAGAAGACACACCACGCAGCAATGTCACAAGGGAAGGGAAAGGGATCATCTGAGGGAGGAGAAATCCAACAACATGGAGGGAGGAGAAATGGTGTCAATGACGTCATAGTCCAAAATAGAAATGGAGCCGCCATCAATGAAAGAGAGAGTTGAACATTGGTGTTAAAGGGTATGGTTTGTATTTTAAAATCCGAAATGGTGTATTTAAGAGGGAAAAAAATTTCCCCACTCAACCACTTTTAAAGTGTTTTTTTGTTTTTTTCCCCCAAACCATAAAAAATGAGGAAACTCTAAGGGTATGTTTAGTAGGAGGGAGAGATGAAGGGAGGGAGGGAGGCGGAGGGAGAGATATGGAATGAGTGGCTCAAATCTCTTAGGTCCCGTTCATTTCGCTGATTCGAGTTTAGAATTTGAGTTTTTCTACAGTAAAAAGCTCTCACAAATAATCACATCTAACTTTTTTACTACAGTAAAAAGCTCTCACATAAAGTCACATCTCAACTCGACTTAAAAACTCGAATCAGCGAACTAAACGGACCCTTACTTAGTTGAAGGGAGAGGGGGAAGGAAAGGAGAGAAGAGGTGGATGGAGGCTTTATCCATCTGAGCCCTCAATTTGCATCCCTAGAAGGATCCATGTAATCTTCTTATTATAAATTTGAAAAGACTATTTTATCTTTGAAAAGTTTAGCATGAAATTAGTAAAAATGACAATACAGTAATTAAATAAATATTCATTCATTCATTCATCATTTTAACTCTCATTCTTTCTTACCAAATAATATAAATAATTACCATAATCATCTCCATCATTTACATTCTCCGTCCTTTCAATTCTCTCAACCCCCCTTCTCTCCATTGCTCATTACCAAATAGAGTCTAAAAGAATGTTCTCAATACAAAGATTTATACACGTCCTACTTAAATATTGTAACATTTTTTATTGCATGTCACTTTTAAAGTCTAGTTATTCACTTGTACCTATTTCAAGTAAAGATGAAGATTAGGTAATATATACGGGAGAGCAAGTTAGTTTACTCCACTGCTGGAACAATTGTTTTTAACCGTTTGATTAGTTTTCTAATGGTCAAATATGTGTAGGTCCATATTAAAAATTTACAGCACACCATACAAAATTGTTCCTACTCAAATTTAACGGAGCAAAATAGTTTACTCTACCGTAAATACTCCCGAAAGATTAATGCTTGAAAAAAGTGGTATATTTGAATTTCAACATTTTAAAATTATATTTATATATTAACTTAAAAGGGAAGAATTTTAAAGAATGATGCAAAACTAAAAATGCAAGTTAAATGGGTGGGTGAATTAGAGGAATGCACTTTTAGAGAGTTGCATTTTATATATATCACTACTGCATAAAATTCAAGCTTAATTTTCACATTAAAGTGGAGTAAATAGACTTGAAGTTCAAGTTCATATTTCAAGCAAAAAAAAAAAAAAAAAAAAAGAGTTTCATATACAATCCACAAAGTGCCACGAGCAACAACTGGATTGGACTAAGTTTCTCCAGACCAAACAGCAGTTTTGGGCCTTCATTCAGTAGCCCATTGGAACAAAATCTTCTGTCCCGTAAACCCCACAAAACCAAAATCGTTAAAGAGCTTAAACCCTCCGTCGTTCCCAATTTCCCAACCCCAAAACCCTAATTTCTTCTGCTCAGAGCTCCAATTTGACAGCTTCAATGGAGGTTAAAGCGCCGGAACACAACGTGATGTGCCTTCTGACTGACCCAGAAGGCACTCCCTTGGGACCCACCATGTATCTTCCTCAAAACACCGGTCCTCCACAGCTCCAACAAATCGTTAATCAGCTCCTAAAAAATGTAAACTTTCCACTTTTTTGTTTGGTTAATCCTATGTTGTTATTTTCTAAACCATATTTAATAAAAATGGAATTTTCATTTGCGGTTTGTCCAGGAGGAGAAGTTACCGTATGCATTCTATATATCGGATCACGAGCTTCTTGTGCCACTTGGAACATATTTGGAGAAGAACAAAGGTTAATTTTGGTGATTAATTTATTTATTTTTTCGATATTGTTTGATATCACGATAGAAAATTTAGTATCATTTTGTAACTCCTTTTGATGCTAAATTTGCAGTTTCTGTGGAGAAGGTACTCTCAATAGTTTATCAGCCTCAAGCTATTTTCCGCATCCGCCCGGTTAGTCGCTGCTCAGCAACAATTGCTGGTATGCAATTCGTGTTTTTGAATGACTGCTTCATTAATTTTTAATGATTATTGCAGCTTAAGTTTTGCTGCTTTTGCATTTTCACTTTATTTGTTATATATTTCACAGTTAGAATGTTTTATGCTGCAATTTCATGCTTCCTTTGATGTTACATTATTGTGGTTCTAACTATTATGAAACCTTAGATAACGTATTTATTGCATTTTTTTAATGTAATCTTACTTATAGGGATACTTTGGAAATTAATTCTTTGCTTTCCTTTCTTTAAGGCACTAAGGGATCCTCATCTTGATAGTCGTTTTTGTGCTATTGACTCATCGGGGTTTTCACTTGTTAATGTTATTTTCTTTATTTAACCATTTTTTTCTTTCTTCCTACTTTTGATCCATATCGCCTTATTTGGAAGGCTCGTGTCCGTTCAAAAGTTCAAATTTTCCCTTGGCTTTTCTTTTGCGGTAAGATCAATACCTTTAATGTGTTGCAAAGAAGAAAACCATAAGTCACATTATTCCCTTCTTGGTGTGTTTTTGCAATTCTAATGTGGAGGATGTAGAGCGTTTATTTTGTTCATTTTAAGGTGGTTTTGGAGTGTGGTAAACTTTACTTGCGGGATTGAACGTTTTGTTGGCTGTTATGAGAAGATCATTACCTTTCCTACATCGCTAATGCAGTACTTCTTTTAATTTCCAATTTATATTATTTGGTTAATTCTCTACTGTTTGTCTTGTCACTTTATTACTTCAGGTCACACGGAATCAGTACTTTCAGTTGCTTTTAGTCCTGATGGTCAACAACTTGCAAGTGGTTCTGGTGATACTACTGTTCGGCTATGGGATCTTGGTACCCAGACACCATTATATACATGTACAGGTACGCTTAATCTCGCAATTTTTTTTGTCCTTCAATTTGACCTCCTGAGATTTTGTTTCACACTACCATTTGTATTAATAATAATTTCATTTTCCTCAGGACACAAGAATTGGGTTCTTTGTGTTGCATGGTCACCCGATTGCAAGCATATTGTAAGTGGGAGTAAGGCTGGAGAACTTCAATGTTGGGATCCACAAACAGGCAAGGCATTGGGCAATCCACTTAATGTAAAGTTTCAATCTTTGGTTTGATTGCCAGACACACTCTCTCTCTCTCTCTCTCTCTCTTCATTTCATACCTTTTATGTCATAGGGCCACAAGAAATATATTACCGGGATCTCTTGGGAACCAGTCCACTTAGGTGCTCCATGTCGACGATTTGTAAGTGCTAGCAAAGATGGTGATGCACGCATATGGGACATCACATTGAAAAAATGTGTTATATGTCTGAGTGGCCACACACTTGCGGTGACTTGCGTCAAATGGGGTGGAGATGGAATGATTTATACAGGGTATACTCTTTAAGTTCTTAAAATTAGAATAAAAATATTTGCCAGTCATGCTTTATATTGAGGACATGTACCATCGATTTGAATAATCACACTGTTGCTCTATAATTATTTTATAATTTACTAGCCTTGATTTATCACATTTAATGGACGACGCAAGTAATCAGAATTTTCTATAAGCTCAACGAAATCAGGCTGAAAGGGGGAAAATGAAGGGAAAAAAGCAAAATATGATCAAACATTTTCATCTTTTGATTGCTCTAAAGGCAATGTTTGTTAGAGCGTCCTTTGTGCCATGGTGGCCAATGCTGGAGCTTTTTCTCTTTCTTTTTTCTCTTTTTTTTTCTTTTAGTTTTAATGAATATCCCTGCTAGCTTTTAAGTTTTGCAAAATTCTGTTTCTAATGCCACCATCATACCTTCAATGGGGCTCCTGAGTGATAATACAAAGCTTCATTTCAACTGCTGCAGCTCGCAAGATTGTACTATCAAAGTCTGGGAAACTTCACAAGGAAAGCTAATTCGTGAATTAAAGGTAATTACCCAAACGAGCTATAGTTTTTCTATACTTCAGTTATGTTTCTTCAGCTATGATTCATTTATTGCCAATTTAGGTTTGTATAGAAAATAACGCCTGGGAATTAGTCTTATCTCTTATGTTACGAGATTTATGTGTTAATATCTTGAATTTATTGCCCAGGTTGATTATTATCAACTTCTTGATTTTTGTGATGATCGCTCACCTTTTTTTTTTTTAATGTAATATTGTTCAAGGGCCATGGGCATTGGGTTAACTCTCTTGCATTGAGCACTGAATATGTTCTACGAACAGGAGCGTATGATCATACTGGTAAAAACTATTCATCTCCAGAGGAAATGAAGAAGGTAGTTTTTTTCTTCTTCTGGTTAAGTAGTTGAATTAATTATGTTTATTTTGTGTTCTTATAATTATAAAGTAACTTTTGTGTTGTGTTTGTCTTCTTGCATAAGTAACTTATGTGAATTTTGTCCTGAATTCAGCTCTCTAGCATGTTTGTAACTATTTGCTCCTCCCCTTGATAAATAATATAAGGAGACCTATTTTTTAATAGGCTTCATGAATTGTATTTTCCCCTGAATTTTCTTTCTTATGAGGTAAACATTTGAGTTACTTCAATTTTATTTTGGTCCTTTTGTCGTATATAAATATCCTACTGAAATTGCCAAGTTCACAAGGCCTGCGGGCAAGATAAAAGTTTTGTTCCAGTACTTTGTAGTATCATTGATTTGACAATAGCAAATTGCTAGATAGACGTCAAACCTGAATCTCAAGCTGCTTTCAATTATGTGTAGGTTGCTTTGGAAAGGTACAACAAAATGAAAGGCGACGCTCCTGAAAGGTTGGTTTCTGGATCTGATGATTTTTCAATGATTCTATGGGAGCCCTTGGTCAGCAAACACCCCAAAACTCGCATGACGGGTCATCAGCAGGTACTAATTGTCTGTCTCTCCTTTTCACCCCTCTTTCTAATGTATATACCTGTTTTCCGTAGTGTTAATATTGATTGGTTAAGTTTTCGTAGTCACGGTTTATATATCCGCAGCTAGACCATCCTTGCAACATTGTTTACAAACACAGATTTTGTTCTAAATAATTTTGTTAACAGCTCGTAAATGATGTTCGCTTTTCCCCTGATGGGCTATGGGTGGCTAGTGCATCATTTGATAAATCTGTCAAGTTGTGGAACGGTACTACTGGACAGTTTGTTGCTGCTTTTAGGGGACACGTTGGTCCTGTTTACCAGATCAGGTTTGAGTTTAGTCTTTTTTTTTTTTTGCTCCATTGCTGGTTGTCTGTGCTCTGGCTAACTGTTACTGCTCATGTTGCATTGCAGCTGGTCGGCAGATAGTAGACTTCTTTTAAGTGGCAGCAAAGACTCTACACTTAAGGTAATTTTTCGCAAATAATTAGATACTCATTCTAATGAAGCTGTTACATTAAATTTATATTCCATACCGAGAAAAAAAAAGTTAGAGATTTAATTATTTCAACAAACATATTGGATACAATAAAACAGAAGATGTTCAAAATGGAAATACATATCCATATCAAAGAAGAAATCATCAAAACTCAAGAAAACATCCACTTGTTAAGTTACTAGAGCTCGGTACTTTCAAATGCTATGTATCGCTGAGAGAAACAGAATCGTTTATCCCTTCAACTTGAGTCCAGATGTTGAGTCGGAATTATGTGATGGCATCCTATTATTTATTATACCACCCGTATCTTAAAGAGTCTTTCGGGCTTTGACTATGTGTTTCAGTAAAACTATACACATATATTTCTGTTGATTTTATTATTGCTATCCATGGAACTTGGTTGAAGTGTTTCTTCTTTTATAATTTAACTAACAAATAATTTCTTCACAATTATGATTTTGGTGTATTTTTCCCCCCCTTGATCATGTAGGTTTGGGATATCAAGACAAAAAAATTGAAACAAGACCTTCCGGGCCACGCGGATGAGGTAGATTTTTTCTTCCCAATATATGCGTATCTAAACATCTGAGAACTGGATTTTGATTGCTGATAACATTTTTGAAAGGTTTACGCTGTCGATTGGAGCCCGGATGGTGAGAAGGTAGCTTCTGGTGGTAAGGATACAATGCTCAAGTTATGGATGGGATAAGTGGGAAGTAGATATTGTCGAAATGTCAACAGAAAGGAATTTGCTTCACCTCGAAAGCAGGCGTAAATAAACAAGCATATCTAAGTTGGCTAAATACTTCTTCTGAGATGGACACAAGTGTATCGAACAGGTAGAGAATCAGTTTTCAGCCATTGATTTGACTTTGGGAGCCAAATTGGCTACTCACATCAGTATGTGCAGGGTCTGGGAAAGAGAATGGAACTGGTTTTTTGTTTCTAGATTTTTTTTGTTTTGTTTTTTTTCTTTCATTTTTGTGTACTTTGTTTTTCTCCTTGATTCATAGACGGAAATAGTGTTTGCCTATGAAATTTCACTTATGCTTTTGACAATAATTGTTTTTTTATGCCAATATATATCTATAATATATATGTATGTATTTGTAATTTTATGCCATTATTGTTGCTAATGAAGAAGCCACAAGTTCAAACCAATTACTGAGCGAAAAACCGTTTGTGCATCATCTCTTTTTGACTAATATATTGGAGGATTTTTGGTGCTATTAGTTTCAAAAGTCTTACTGTTCGTACTTGGTTTGTAATTTTCTTTTACCGATTTTTTCTTTTCTTTTCTTTTCTTTTCTTTTTTGCTTTTTTTTTTGGTACGATTGAGGATAGAATACTTAATAAAGATAATTACGTGCACATCGCATGGTTTTAACATAAAACGCAACATGTTTTCTTCAATGTACTTGTTTTCCCCAACGAAAAAGATCTAAAAGATATTGGAAAACGTAGAAAATGACCAAACGCTTCCGTGTTTTTGTGAGTGAAAAAAGTCCCACGTCGTGTAAACCAAGGGAAGCGTTTGCAAGGCTAGAAAGGAATTCCTGAGCAAAGTATACCTTCCTCGCCATCCAAGTACCCATTCTATCAAAACGGACCGAAAAATCCCAAACGGCCAAAACCCTTTTCAAAACTGTTTTCGTCTTCAAGAACGAACGAAGGAAGAGAGCTTAGCAGAGAATACGATTCCATCAATGGAGGCCTTTCCCATCCCTGCCGACACCTACAAGCTAGGATTCATCGGAGCAGGAAAAATGGCGGAGAGCATCGCCAGAGGAGTTGTCCGATCCGGAATCTTGCCCGCTTCTCGCATCATTACCGCCGCTCACTCCAATCCCCTTCGCCGCGAGGCCTTCGAGTCCTTCGGCGTCAGAGTCCTCTCCAAGAACGACGACGTATTGCGTCTTCCTACCGCTGTTTGGTATCGTGTTTGTTTGTTTGTTTTTTTTTGTTTAGTCTGTTTGGTTGCTGAGAAAATGTGATTATGACGATTGATCTTTTAGTTTTAAGTTTGTTTTTTTTTCTCCTGTGTTTAATGGAGTTTTTAACTGCCAAAATGATTAAAGATTCCTAGTTTTTCTCAGTGGTCGAAGAGAGTCTCTATTTTTTTTTTCTTTTTCCTTTTTTTTTGTTAGTTTTGTTTGGTTGTTTAAAGAATATAGTATAGTAGAATGGAAATGGAAATGGCGGCTTTTTTTTTTTTTTTAAATGACGATTTTGTGTTTTAAGGTCTATGTAATGCGGAATAATGTAATATTGGTTATTTTCATTTTCCTACATTTTCTCAGCAGCCAAACGGAGTTTTAGTCCTTTTTTACACATTTTCCCGCTAGTGGATGGAAACCTAATTTGCGATTGGTTATAACAGGTAGTTGAAGAGAGTGACGTGATTGTTTTCTCTGTCAAGCCTCAAGTCGGTATAGCCCAGTTCTGAGTTCTCTTCTTGTTCCTTTCATTTCCTATTTTCTATTTTACGTGAAAAACGTTGATATTCACAAGACTACTTAGAAGAGGGGCGGGAAAAAAAATCTTTTGAAAAGCAGTAATGGAAATCTTAATTTATGTTGAGTCTACTTCGATTCTTGCTGCAAAATGTTACGGATATTGCTTTTCACTTTTTTTTTTTTTTTTGTTGTAATTTTTTCCCTTTTCTTTCTTAAATGTTATTTTTGAAATCATGAGATTTTAGTATTATTACGCAGCTAAAGATGCGGTCTCGAAGTTGAAGCCACTTCTGTCGAAGAAGAAGCTTCTGGTTTCTGTTGCTGCTGGAATAAAATTGAAAGATCTGGAGGTCTGTTAATCTGATCTCATCTTTCTAGTCTAAATCTTATGTTTTTACTTGGCAAGCTTATTTGTGCCAGTAAATGTGAAGATTATTCTTGGTGAAGTTGCAATTAACAATTCTTGGCCGTTAATCAACATTGACCTATGTAGGTCTCACTGTGGTAATATTTGTACTAGTTGACGGCTTAGGATAGACAATAATACATCCCCATTGCCATTACAGCTAAAAATTTGCACAATCATTAGCTACTATTGGCCTCATGCTCTCTTTAAATTCGAGGTTTAGCTTTATGATTGATGAAGTTTACGCAGCGGACATAGTAACAAGCTTTTGAGCTAAAAACTATGAACTTTATTGAGTAAATGAATGAATAATGATCATGGAGTACATAATTTATAGCTTTTTTGTGGTTTGAATCCTAACAGAACTGAAACTAATAATCATAATAGAACTAGAACTAATTTAAAAGATAAAGGATAAAAATAAACCCAAATAAAATTAAAAGATAAAGCCTAAGATAAATCTTAAAAATCCTAAATCCAAAAAATTATAAACGTATCCGACATCAATGATGATAGGACTTTTTTTTTTTAAATGGTGATAGGACATTTTGGTTGCTCATCCCATCCGACAGGGGAAATAATAACTTTAAAACAAAAAGAAATGTCTGTTTGCTTAACTTGGATAATGAAGTGGGATCTGCAGATGTGTGTTCTATTTGCCATCCTCATGTTTGTGCTCTTTGCTTCCTACCTTGATGAACTTATTTGTTATACAATATGAATTTTTAAGTTTTAGTAGATAATAAAGTAACAATCTCTAAACTTGGTTCAATTAATTTCAGGAATGGGCTGGTAGCAGCCGATTTATTAGGGTTATGCCAAATACGCTGCGGTAGGCGAGGCTGCATCAGGTATCATTTTCTGCTGTCTAAGATTTTTTTTTTATTCTGGAATAAATGTTGTTTCATGTAATGCAGTTTTTTCCTTTGCTGATTTGTTAGCTGGGTGTTTTAAGGTATTGCTATTTTCTCGTTCAATTGCAAGTTTGAGACTGTAGTGTACAAAGGATCTTCATATTCGTTGGCTGGAGCAGTTTTCTACTTGGAGTTGTCCTCTTGTTAAATTCCAGTATTTCATTCTATTTCCACATTATATTTGTACAAACTTAACAAATCATTCGTGTTCTGTTAATTTTTATATAATTTTAATTCTTGCTGCTCATAATAATGACTGTTTTAAACATAAATATAAAACACTTGTGATCCTAATAACCATAGCTTTCCTTAGAAACTCCGCAAGTCACTTCAAGTAGTCATGAACATAAATAGCAGTGTTAATATTTTTAATATAGTAACAAGAACATAATTATATTATTTCTATTATAATTTGTCATTTGTTGCATCCAAGTTTACTCAACATTTGGTGCAATAATTGATACATATTTTCTGGTTAATGAGGTTAACCATTGTTTCTCAATGTGTCCCAAAAGTTGGAAATTGGAATGATATCAAATTGGTGCCTGTTGGGTTGGTATGATTCACGATATGTGACCTCATTAACAGAAAGGATTACGTTTAGAAGGCACGAAATGCAACTACAATAGGTCTTTTGATTTGCTTTGAAGAATTGTGTATTTGTGTGAAAGGATGTATTGCCAAGGTTTTTATTTACTTCGTATAAAAGAGATTCAATATTGCGAAAAGAAATTGGCCCCACCTTTTACATGCACAGTATCTTTCTGTTTATTTATTTATTTTGTTTCAGATCAATTAAATCTCTTTTTTTTTTTAAAATAAAAAAAAAGATGTCTGTCTAATAATCTAATTCTTGTTAGCATAATTTAGTTTACATATGAAAATATTCAAGGCTTCATTTTCTTTCTTTAATAGTTATGAGCTTGGGAGGAACTGCAACAGAGGAAGATGGGAAATTAATTGCCAAATTATTTGGATCTGTTGGCAAGATATGGCAAGCAGATGAGAAATACTTTGATGCAGTTACTGGCTTGAGGTACACGGCTAGGTCGTGATGAATCAAATTCAGGCTGATTAACACCCTAATGCACAAAATACTAATATGTCTCTCTCTGCCTTCAAATCATACAGCGGTAGTGGTCCTGCATATATATATTTGGCTATAGAGGCTTTGGCAGATGGAGGAGTTGCTGCTGGGTTACCACGAGAACTTGCATTGGGCCTTGCTTCTCAAACAGTAAGTCACTTTGTGGCGCAGAAGAATATTATTATTTCACAGTTTTCTAGCATCACTGCTTATCTCTATAATTCAAAATGTCTTGTTAGAACATCCATTAATCTTTCCTGCTTCCGAATTGTCTTTTTAAAATATTTGAGTCGCCTCCTTAAGTTTTTTATGAAGTTTCGCTTGCTTAAATGAAATGAATTTACTTGTCATAAATACTTGCTCTTGGCGGTTCTGTCATACGAAGTCTATGTTGGTACACTTGTTGGTATCTTGATATTTTTGCCAGGATGAAGTATGTTCCTTTCTGAGTATCTCCCTCAGAACTCGATTTTTCTGGGATTGTTAAGTTCTTATGGGCTTGTTTGGTAACGTTTTCAAAATGATTTTGTTTTCAATACAAAAGTAAAAATGAGATTGTTTTGAGAATTAGTCTGGGACCGATTCTAAAATTGCGTTTGGTAGGTTTTTTAAGAGATTGTTTTGAGTATTGTTGATAAGTACTAGAAAATGAAAACAGAAAAGGGAAAACAACTTTCAACTATTTTTTAATTCCTTCACAAAAACCATTCTTACTGTTTTTTGTTTTCGTTTTCAAAAAATTTGCTAAATAAATATGATTTGCAAACCGTTTCTATTTTCGTGCCTCAAAAGATGTGCAGAAACGTTTTTAAAAACAAACAAAAATCAATTCCAAACGCACCCTATGTTTCTTTGCAGGTGCTAGGAGCAGCATCTATGGCTGCTAAAACTGGGAAACATCCAGGTCAGCTCAAAGATGATGTTACATCACCTGGTGGGACTACTATCGCTGGCATTCATGAGTTAGAGAAGGGTGGCCTTCGTGGGCTGTTGATGAATGCAGTTGTTGCTGCTGCTAAGCGCGGCCGAGAACTGTCCTAGAGCCCTGTCATGGTGATTTTCTCATCAATTCATTTTGCAGATACAGCCTTGAAATCGCATATTTTCCCCTTCTAGAAAAGTAAGCTTTTATCAAACGAGATATTCATTTCACATAGCCTGTGGTCCGAACATTATTTTAGCATACAATTGGGGTATTTCAGTGAGAATTTTGGGTGGTACACCCTGATCTTTTTTATGCAGCGCACTCTGATCAATATATTTAGCAGCAGTTTTGGAATTTTATAGTACATTATACTTGCTCAGAACTAATATATTCAATCGATAGGTTTTATTTGTTTATTTTTCAATTTAAGAGTGGTCGATTCAAAGTTCAGACCTCAATCCGAGATAGTTATAAAATTACCGCCATGATGAGTCTGTGAGTATGAAACTTGAACAAAATATTATTAGAATCTCACATTGGTTGGAAATATTAGTATGATCCACTTAATAAGATGAGGGTAATCCTCCCTTAATAAGCCGGTTTTGTTGTTAGGTTGAGTTAGGCTCAATATTATTTGATTTCTGTAAAATGGTATCAGAGCACGCTCAGTTTTGCAATGTTGGGTCCTCCAATATCGACTTTTTCGTAGTGGTTTGGCACGGTTCACGCTGTGCGTGAGGGGGCGTATTAGAATCTCACATTGGTTATAGATATTGGTATGATCCACTTAATAAGGTGAGGGTAATCATTTCCTAACAAACCGGTTTGTTAGGTTGAGTTAAGTCCAATATCCTTTGATTTCTGTAAAAAAAATATTGCAGAAAGAGAGCCTCGGGCAAGGCTTGAGTTTCTTTGCAAGGCTTAAGAGCTTTAGCATTAGAAAGAGAGCCGGGCTGGGATTTGTCCCGCCGATTAGAAATTCTCATGTAACGCTGATGTGTTTGGAATGTATGTTGTTGATAGACATTCAGGTAAAGAAATGCAATGCAGGCCACACCTTTACAAGAAAAAAAAAAGAAATGGGCTACTCGTAGTAGCAGACGACAACAGTTAAATCTTTTCCCCTTTTAACGACAATACAAATCAACTTTCTTCGCGCAATGGGGGAATCAAAGCAATGGGCCTGTTTGTTATCTTTTTTGTTTTCATTTTTCACGTTTTTCGAAGCAAAAAATTGAAACCAGAAATGAAAAATGCGTTTGGCGAAGTTTGTGTTAGAAAATAAAAACAAAAACGTTTTTGTCTTTTTGTGAAAAACTGAAAACGAAAAAAATACGTTTTTATTTTCACGTTTTCGTTTTCTGAAAACGGATTTTAGTTTTTTTTTTTTCTTCTCCAGCCGAAGTCTCCAGTCGAAGAAGACGCCGGAGAACGCCCACCGTCACTCATCCAGCCGGCGTCTGCAACTGCGC